TCAGTAGATCTATCGAAGCGTGGTGAAGAAGGAGATGCAAGGGGATCGAGCATGCATGCTAATGCAGAGAATGGGAATGATCCAGTGGAACCTGAAGAAGGAAGGCCCATGGTGGAAGAGAGACCAAGGAGAACAAGAAGAAAGCCTCACCGCTTCAATAATGAGGAATTTGTATGCAAGTAGTGTTAGACTGATTGTGTTTTGATGAAAAGAATAATTGTAGATAGTATACTGTAATACGGTTACAGGTAGATGTAACTAACAGCTATCAGTTAGCATATAAATAGGAAAACACCGATTGTAGTTACTCATTGATTTTGATAAATGAAATTCTGGATTCTTCTTCTCATCTTTCTGTTCCTATTCTTTCTCACCTTTCTCCTTTGTTCTAGGGTAGAACTGTGATTCTATCATAAACATAGGAGAGAAAATGAGGAAAATGGAAGAGTGGCATTTCTATTGTATTGTGTCAGTGGCGGAGTCACGTACAGTGCGGGTGGGGCGTTGGTCCCAACAAAAATTCTATAATTAGCCACGTTTTAAATGTAACTAACTAACTGTGACAAAATAATCTTCTTTCATGTTTTAGTATTTGACATTAGCTAAATTTTTTTTGACTCTATCTAGGTTGGGAGGCTGGCTCCACCACTGTACTGTGTTGTATTACAAGCTTTGTACATGTGCTTTATTAATAAGCTCTCAACATTATGTGTAGGGGTGTAAATGGGCCAGGCCGGCCTACAGGGGCCTACAGCCTGACCTATGAAAAGCCTGGCCCGACCCGACCTTCGAAGTACTTAGAAGTTAGAACAGATAAAGGCTTGTAAGTAAGCCTATTTAAAAACAAGGCCGTAGGCCAAATAACAAAAAAACCCGGCCTTTTGGCCTGTAGGCTGGCCTGTTTCGCTTTTTTTTAAAAAAATTTTTATTATATAATATTATTTATATTCTAAAAATTACTAAACGTCTAAACCTAGTTTTTTTCTTTTGGTGTGCGCCGCTCCTGCTCTCAGTCTCACCAGTCACCAGTCTCACCTCACCTCACCGAAGTCCCTCACCGCCGGTCACTCATCTATTCTCGCCGCCGCCGCCGGTCACTCATCTATCAAGGTACTCTCTTTTTTTCTTTGTTGTGATATCCCAATGTGTTTTCTTTGGGTTTGTTCTTTGGGTTTGTTATTTTAATCCCATGAAGGCTACACTAAAATCTTCAAAAACACCTCACAATAATGCTCGCCAAGAGCAACCTCACTAGAACACTGCAGTGGTCTCGCGTAAATGTGACAAATCCTCCATTATACTGGACCATGTAGAATCCGCGAGATTACTCTAGGGCCAAAACTCCTTAGTCTTTTTATATCGAAATATTACAATATCCTTTATAGTGGAATAAAATGCTGAACAAAGTTTCTTTAACATTGGGATGAATACATGCCATTTTGAGAATGTCGAATGCCATAAGTTTTGTCTTTTTCTGAAATTTGCTTGCTATGTATGGTTTTTTGTTCCATTATCTGATTCTGAAATCCACTGTCACAAGTTCAAAAGTTGTAAAAGAAGTATAAGAAACATTTTCTTTTTAATCTAAGAACCACTGAAGCATTGTATTATGTATACTGAGTTGGAGAAAGTGCAGAAAATTAAAAGTAAAAAGGAAGAAATAGGTGCTTTTGTGAAATAAGACAGAGCAAATTGTTAAAAAGTCATGACCTTATCTATACCATTCAACTTGGAACAAGTGCATACATTTATATTTCACTATAGTTATCCTGATGTATTGTGTATTAAAGGAGGTTAATAGTTAAATACTTAAAGAATTAAAGGAGGTTAATAGTTAAATAATTAAAGGAGGTTAAATGCATTTATATTGTACTCTAAAATATGTATCCTGATGTGTTAAAATTAAAGGAGGTTAATAGTTAAATACTTAAAGAATATATTTGTTAGTTTGCTGCCAACGTGAACATAATACACGTTCTGTACACCTTCTGAACATAAATTTGCACACATTCGTCCTTATTATTCCTGTTTTCAATATATCTGTCAGTATATGAGTTGTTTTATGTAACATCTCTGTCTCAAGCCGGTTCAATTAACATACATATGATACAAACAGAAACAGCGGAAGACTTAACTTTCGAAATACGAGCTAACTTTTCTTTTACTTCTAATTATTCTTAATTCACATGATATCTTGCATTGCATACTTCTCCTAATTTAATTCGTATTTGACGAAGGCGAAAATCGGGCAGAGTAACCTTTGTAAATTGGACAACTGGGGATTTGTCAATCCCACTCTCAAAGGTTCCTGATAAACAGTTTATACCATATATAATTTCAGAAATACCAGATATATATAAAGGACTCTATACCCATCCATGGGCGCATGCATAACTTGGCTCTGTGCCACTATGTCTAACAGCGTGCAAATCCAACATGTAAGCATATAACTGAATAATACATCGGAATATAAACATGCCTGAATACATAATTGTACATGCATCAAAACAGAAAACATGTACAAACTATATACAGGCCATATACAAAATAAAGGATCAGACATCATGATCCACAAAATAATGGAATACGAAATAACATAAATAATTGATAGTAGTGTCCGGCCACCCAGAACTTCATATCCTCATACTAGTACCTCTAGCCACGGGTAGTGTCTTTGTCCCATGAGGGCTATTCAATTAACTGTGTTCCTGAAATCATATCCCCCAAACTGGGTTAAAGACAAATCTCTAGTAAGCTCCAGGTTTATAGAAAACTCTCCATACCCTGGGCTCACTTCCTGCATGACAGTCAGATACATAATATACAAAACATCATATATCATACTATATCGAACATATCTCGTATAACATATCATATAATCAAATATCATAACTAAACAAAGCATATACACAAATCTTATCAGAGACGTACACAGTCATTCCCAAGGGATGACCCCAAGCAGAAATCAACGCACGTGTTCCCAAGGGAGGACCCAAGCGGAACCAGAACATATCAGAGGCGTACGCAGTCATTCCCAAGGGAGGACCCCAAGCAGAAATCAACGCACGTGTTCCCAAGGGAGGACCCCAAGCGAAAATCAACGCACGTGTTCCCAAGGGAGGACCCCAAGCGGAACCAAAACATATCAAAGGCGTACATCGTCAATCTCATGGGAACCCAAGAAGACATCAGTGTACCATACAAGTCAATTCCAGCCAAAGATCAATACAGAAATCATATCCTCATATAACAAATGTGTACACAGTCAATCCCAGGGGAGGACCCCAAGTGAAAATTAGTGTACGTGTTCCCAAGGGTGGACCCCAAGCGAAACTCAACAAAACATATCATATTAACACATATCAAAGTAAACACATCAAAACAAAACATATCATCATCATATAGCTCTATATGAATGCATATATATCATATATCTTATACATATCATACAACCTGACCACAGTCCGTACACTATAGCGGAACACAAAGTAGGAGCGAACCCCATAAACATAGAGCTTACCTCTTGAAGCTTTTTCAATCCGCTTACTTGTGGCACAAGTTACTTATATATCTTCAAGAAGGTTCCGATCTTTTTCAGTCCCTAGGTACACCTAGAGAAAGAATACAAAAATACAAATCAATAAAATGCTATCATGCCTAGATTTTACATAAGGCATACATTTTATCGTTTACTTTCGTTTCTTTACGTTTTTGCCAATCCTATGCCAATAGACAAGTCAAGACCACTACTTTATCTTTTCCTTTAATTTTCCATTTCATAATCGTTAACGTTCCCTAAATTAACTAAGTATCCACATGAGAATTTTCAACATAATTCACAAAAATAAAAGCATAGGATTAGAGGTTTCTCACCTATAGTTGCTATTCCAAGCTCCAAAGAACAAACCCCAAGCTTTGCTCACTCAAAAACCCCACTTTTCCACAAGGATGAATAGTGCCACGAATTGGGGGAGATGAATAACTCTCTCCACAAGTAAAATCAGCTCAAACTAAGTGGTGGAATGGATTCACTAGCCTTTTTCCTTAAAGATTCATGTATGGCATCATGGCTTTTGGTGAGAATTTGAGTGGAAAAGAGAGGAAATAAAAAAAACTAACCTAGGTCCCTTTCTCCATGGAAGCGTCGATCAACAGTGAGAGAAATAGAAAAGAAAGGAAACAACGCGTAGAAAGAAGGAGAAATAAAGGATTTCACTGTGTGTAAAAATTAAGTTACTTTAACTGGGTAACAACTTATCTATCTACACACCTCCATTCATTACCAAACTTTGCACACTAGTCCAGAATATTTTTATGGTAATATTTATAATTTTACTTTTCACTTTCGGGTAACTTTATTTACCCGCATTTTTACTCCTTAACTGTCATTTTAACTCCTTTTTCACCAAAGGTAACTTTATTTCTTTTTCTTTATAATTATCCTTCCATATTAAATCCATAATAAAATGTGAGGGTCATTATATTTTACAATTTTGTTGTTATGAATTACATGATTTACTTACATCCTTTTACAGTGCTAATTTGTTCTATTTTTGTACTCTTTTTTTATATGCGTAGAAAATGGACTCTAATCCAAGTCCAAGTGCAAGTGGTAATGCTATTGCTAGCGCACCAAGTGACCCCAATCAACTTGAAGTAAGAGATGAACATCGGGAAGAAGTAACAGATAGTGTTGCAGCGACTGATAGTGCAAATTCAGTCGTAGAAAAGAAAAGGAAGAAAACATCAGCTGTTTGAAATGATTTTCATGACGTTAAACTCCCCAATGGACAACAAAAAGCTGTTTGCAATTATTGCAAAGTTAAATTTGCTACGGGTGGTTTGGAGCTAGCACTAGCCATTTGAGGAGGCATTCAAAAACTTGCTTAAGAAGGAAAATAGACCAATCACGACTAAAGCAATCAACCATAGTGTTTCAGCCTACAAGTTCTGCCTTGAACCCTTTCCTTGCATCAGGAGGTAAGTATTCTAATATGAAGATGAGAGAAATTATTGCTAGTTCTATCATGGTACATGAGTATCCTTTTAGCATTGTGGAGGACACAGTTTGGATGTGGGCTTTTAAGTATGCAAATGCTGATTTTGAGAAAGTTTCACGGCAAACAATAAAAAATGATTGCATGACACTGTATCAGGAAGAAAAGAAATGTCTCAAGGCTGAATTAATAAATGTGAATAGGATTAGTATAACCATTGACATGTGGAAATCTAATCACCAAGTAGCTGGATATATGGTCATCACTGGTCATTTTATTGATTCAGAATGGGAATTACAAAAAAGAGTGTTGAGTTTTGTCAAAGTGCCACCTCCAAGACGTGGGGTTGATGTTGCTGATGCAATATTTAAACGTTTGCAGTCATGGGGGATTGAAATTAAGGTATTTTCTGTGTCTGTTGATAATGCTGCATATAATGATGTTTGCATAAGAAATATTAAGAGCACATTGTTAAGAAGCAACAATTTAGTCCTTAATGGAAACATATTTCATGTACGTTGTTGTGCACATATTCTGAATTTATTAGTGCAACATGACCTTAGTCATATCAAAGGTATAATTGAGAATGTTCGTGAAAGTGTTAAATATGTCAATCAATCTTATTCGAGGTTGAAGACTTTCTATGATATTGTTAAGCAGATGGGGGTAAAAGAAAGAAAGTTAGTTATTGATTGTCCCACTAGATGGAACTCAACATTTGAAATGCTTTCTACTGCTTTGATATTCAAAGATGTATTTCCAGAATACAAGGAAAAGGAACTATATTATAATTACTTGCCATCTGCAGAGGAATGGAGCAAGGTTGAGAAGGTTTCTAATCTTTTGGAAGTTTTTAGTCATGTTACTAATGTCATATCAGGTAGTGACTATCCCACAACCAATTTATATCTCCCTGAAGTTTATAGAGTTAAGGAAGTAATTGATGCTGCAATTGAAGATAATGATGATTTTATGAGAGAAATGACAAGGCCAATGAAAGTAAAATCTGACAAGTATTGGGGGGAATGCAATTTGCTGATGGCCGTTGCTAGTGTTCTAGACCCAAGGTGTAAATTGCATGTGGTAAATATTTTCTTCCCAATTATATACAAATCAGAATTTGAGGCAACAGAAAATGTTGAAAAAGAGAAGGCGGCTTTAGAAGATTTGTACAATGAGTATTGTGCTATAAGTTTAAGATTCAGTCCCAAATAGGGAGCTAGAAACTAGTGTGAACCAATCATCCCTCTCTTCCACTCTTCCACCTCGAGCTCCTCTATCAGGATTTTCTAAAATCATGAGCATTGTGCGCGAAAAGGAAATTGTTGCCCCAGTAAAATCAGAGTTAAAAAGTTATCTTGAAGAAGGGGTTTACATATGTGATGAAAAATTTCGGATTTCCTTTAATGCCTTGGACTGGTGGAAGAAAAACAGTTTGAAATATCGAATTTTATCAAAGATGGCAAGAGATATACTAGTTGTTCCAATTTCTACAGTAGCATCTGAGTCCACATTTAGTGCTGGTGGAAGAGTAATTGATGCTTATCGTGCTAGTTTAGCCGAAGTGACTGTCGAAGCATTAATTTGTGGTGGAGATTGGTTACGAAATAAATATGATTTGAAGAAAAAAACAAAAGGTATAAATTGATTTTTTAACAACTTATTTGAAAATGTTTATATATTGCAATTCATAATGTAAACATAGTGAAATGCATAACTAATTTGATTTTAATAAAGCTGATTACTTTTATGGGTGAAATGCCTATTTTTTTCTTAAAATTTGGACCATCCTTGTATGCCTCTTCTCTTTATCATTTGTGTTCTGTGTTTTCGGTGTAACTTCATTTTAAGTGGTTCATCCTTGTTCGAAAAGATATTGATATTAGATAATGATTTTAAATGGCTCACTCTAATAACTTTATTTTACAGGACAATGATGTTTCACAGATTCAAAAAGTGAGAAAGTATATCAAAGTAGGAGGAAGATAACAAGGCTCACTTGAAGATTGTGATGTGGCAAGAAAAATTCAATATTTGTTGTCATGAATTTTTATAATCTATATTCTTGTTAAAAAAATCTGTTGTAGAATTTTTATAATTTGGACCCATGCTAGAAATATTGTTTAATGAATGAGATAATTTATTTTTTATTTTTATTTAATTTACAACATGGTAGGCCTAAAAGGCCTCATAGGCCATGTAGGCTTTTTCTTTTTAAGTAACAGGGCAGACTTGGCCTTTAAACTAAGCCTTTGATAGGCTCGTAGGCCAGATAGACTAACTATTTTATTATGTAGGCTTAGGCCAAGAAGGTCAAAGCCTTGCCTGCCCTGGCCTATTTACACCCCTAATCATGCGTTACAATGAAATAAATAACAAATTCAATTCTCTTAATTGCACGAAATAAACCCATAGGAGGGATTTTTTTAATATAGGGTCGGCCCACAATTCTTTGGGTTCACCCTTTCTAAAAAAGGGCAAAAAAAATTACATTTCAATCCCTCTCTTTTATTCAAATGCCATCTCACTCCTCTATTTTTTTCACTTTTGGTCAAGGACTATAAAGTCCAGGCCCACACTAAATCACCTCCCATAGGAGCTACAAGATTTATTCTCATAAATCCTTAGAAGTTACATATTTTATTATTATTATTTTGAGTAATATCATCATTCATATCAATATTATTTATGGGTTATATTTATCTACTTTTACTTAAGATAATTAAATTTCCTACACACACAAAAGCTAGGTGGGTCCCATTTCTTTTTTTTTCTCTCCTCTTATGTATGGGTCCCACTTGTAATCTTGTTTCTACAACATAAGATAAGTATTTACCTACAACATAAGAAAATTATTTCCCATTATTTATAATAAAAACTTCCTTTTTTACAGACTACCAAAAAAAAAAAAATCATTTTTTACAAAGTTGGAAGAACTATAGCATTCTCGTGTCTCGTCTTCCCATCTGGTAATGTATATCTGCCTTACATTCGGCTTGATTTGATTAAGTTATAAATAAAAATTTAGGGAAGATAAGTTGCGAAAGTGACTACGAGTAAAAATTATTATTATTATTATTATTTTGTATAGAAGTAAAAATTATTTTACAACCATATTCCGGAGAATCTTGCATATCTCCATGTGCTAGGGCCTAGGGGCATCCTCCAAATTTCTAAAATTGAATTTTACCAGAAGCGACCAAATAGGCAGCTTGTGTCCAACAAAATAGAAAAGCCTAGCCCTTCAGCCCATTTAAAATGGCCACTAGCCACTCCAACTACCCCAAAGGTCATTTTGCAATTTTGTTTTTTTTGGTCAAGAACTGTTTCTTTCTTTATTTCTAATTTATTTTAAATTTACCCTTTTCATTAGAAAAAGAATGGATGATAGCAATGTTATAAAAACCAGACACACCCGACCGGGTCAACTTGGAAATCGGTGAACCGGTCATGTAACCGGTCTGATTTTCATATTAGACCGGCCATGTTATAGAATCGGTGCGACCCGGCCGGTTTTCGTAAAAATCGGTGACCCGGTCGGTTCATACCGTGACCGGCCCAGTCTATAAAAAAAAAACTAATTTATTTTCATAAATTAATGTCTCCTTTTTTTTTTTACTCTCAAACACAAATAATTTGTTTTCTTTTGAAATATTTGAGTGATTTGTAGCTTATTAACTTACATAGATTATGTACCTACAAAACTAATATTATCTTGATTATGCAATATCCAGGGAATTTTGATTTGATTTATAGTTAGAGATGTCGTTTACTGAACCTGAAACTCTAGTATCACAAATATTATATGTTTGATTGATCTTTTGTTGACAATGATGTGTAATTTATCATTTTCATATTAAAATATTTGAAATTGGTATATTTTTTTACAAGTATTTAAGTATATTTATAGTTTTTTTAATATAAATTATAGATTTACATATACTTACCGGGTCATGCGGTTGAACCAGTGATCCAGTGACCAGTACCTCGACCGGGTCAATAATCAGGCCGAGTTTAATAACATTGGATGATAGACTTAATACTGAAAAACTTCCTTTAATTCTAGAGGGAAGATTTCATTTTCACCCACTTTAATCTTATGATTTATTATTTGACCTCTTACGATTTTAACTTTTCCTTTAGAACTATTTTAGTTAATTAATTTATCATTTAATCTCGGTGGTTTCAAATATTTACTTATACTCATTGTGGTTGCAAAATAAATCACTTACACCCATTGTGGTCTTATAAATATAAAAATATTTTCTTTTTCTAAATTTTATTTTATATAATTATGATATTATCAAATAAAATTAATAATTAAATATTAAATTAAAAAATATTTCAAGTTATTTATTTTGAAATTAATTTATAAATTAGCTTACTTTTTTATTTTAAAATATATTTAAAAATTTTAAAAAATTATTTAAGATAAATTAAATATGTGTCATCAAAATAAGATATTTACTTTCTTTAGATATTTTATAATGATATCGGATAAAAATAGATAAAATAAAATAATATTTGATTTAAATTTATTTTCATAATAAAAATAAATCTATTTTTAAAAAATTATTTTTATTTTTATTTTTAAATGCATTAGATGAGGATATAAAATAAAAAAGAGGGAAAAAAAATATATGTATAAAATTATAAGGATATAATTGAGATTGTTATTAATTAAAATTAATTTTAAATTATAATATGATAATAATATAAGATAAAAATTGAGAAAAATAAAAAATTTATGTATATATAAGACCACAATGAATCTAAGTGATATATTTTGTAACCACAATAAATGTAAGTGAAAATTTGAAATCACAAGTGATTAAATAATAAATTATTTAATCATAATGGGTCTAAATGAAAAGTTTAAAACCACAAGGAATCAAATGATAAATCATAAAATTACATAAAAATAAAGTTTTCCCTCATATCTTTTGAATGCGATGCTCATTTGAAGTATTAACGTTATTTTTGAAACATCCTTTAGTTCAGACTTGTCCAAATAAGGAAGAGTATGTGACATTTTATTTTGGTTATAAGGTTCAAACTTTTCATAGAGTTAATTTTTTTTTTAATAAAAAGTAATCAAATGGCATTACACTTTTCTTTTATGGATATATGTTGCAGGAAATAAGTTGTATCATGTAACTTTTTTATAATTATGTATTCCGAAAAATATATAGTTATAATATTAAAAAAAAATTCTCGCTTTTCACGTCACCTGACAAATTTTTTAAAAAAGTTCGAGAAAAGAGAGGATTTTTTTTAATATTATAATTATATATTCCTCAAAATATATAATTATAAAGAGGTGATATGATACAATTTATTATTTCCTTCAACATTATATTTACTTTCCCTTCTTCTATACTGAAAATGTTCGGGCATGCCCTTTGGACAAGAAGCTTGGGACATTTTTAACGAGGTCAATAAATCTCGTATCATAAGGAATGAGCCATAACGAAATATAAAATAGAGGCATTTAGGTGCAATTTCATCCTCCACCCTTGATTAGCCGAAGAGGGACATTCTTGTTTCTAGGAATCTAGAACTTCTAAAATTGCTCTTTTAAAGCTTAAATTTTGTTTTCTAGGGTTTTCTACAAAACCACTTGATTTGCTGCTGCAAATTCTGCAAAATCCCTATCCAAATAGAAGAATGGGGTGAATAGCAGCACTATTTTCAATGCAAGACGTGAATGGCACCAACTGACATTATTCTACACATAACGGTAATGCAACTACAACTGCTAGAGTTTGATAGAAAAATATAAATTTAAAAGTGCAAGAGTAGAACAAGTATCATATTATGTGATAAACACTCCCAAACTAATATTATTGGACTCCGATTCTGGATAAAGAAAGAAAAAAGATGTATTAAATAAGTATACTAGAGAAAATTACACCATAGAAATTACAACACAACGATTGCCGCAACAAAAATTGTTACGTTAATTAGCTGAACACTGCTACCAACTACCAAATGCTATGTCCTAAAAGCTACATTTTACATGTAATTACAATAAAATACATAGTGAGCAAAAATTTAATTCAGGTTAATTCTAGCTGGAAGGCATACTCCCGGAGCTTGCTCTTCCACAAAAATAGATTCACAGTTAACCAGTTTCACCACATACTGAGCTGAAATGTGGTATTTCTGCAGAGCTTCAACGAAGCCTCTGCCAAGAACACGTTTTACCCAATCCTCCACTGCATTTTTCTTGTCTGATAACCAAGCAGCTGCAAGTATCTGTACCATTACCTCATAATCAATTTCCAGCTGAAATTCTGAACCAAATGTCCTTTGAAATTGTATGCTAACGCTTTTTAATACTTGCTCAGCAAGAACATCAAAATTGAATGGCTTAAAAACCACCTTTTCATCAACTTGATTACAGAAATCATTTAACCAGGCGTCTGAGTTTTCCACTAGGGATTCACTTTCATGCTCATTGTCATTGATGCCCTCTTCACCCTCCTCTACAGGTATATTCAGATCTAGATAGGATCTTGATGCCTCCCTGAACTGTTTCTGCATCTTGAATGTTGTTGCTCCCTCTTTGGAGTCACTACTATCAGCCTGCTTTCTTTTATTCAGAATTGATGGTTTGGAGAACAATTTTCTCGGTACAACCTTGACATTTGTGCTACCCCATCTTTTGGCATCCTCAGATGTATGTCCAAGTACTATTTGCATTTGATATCTTTTGGCTTCAAGGATTCTTTCCTCAGAAAACATTTTAGACTCCTCAGAAACAAAAGAACCATTACCTTTACAGACAGTTGAGGTTGCAAGAAAGATTGCGTTATTGGTGCTAATTTCCCTTCCATGAGAGTCTGGAAATTTACCTGTTCTAATGGCTTGCAACAAACTAGTCTGCACCAGAAAATCAGCTTTATCTACATTTTCAAGAAAGATAACCGAATGGGGTTTTTTACTCAACTCCCCAGCAATATAGTCAACAACTGTCTTCCTCCTAAGCACATCATAGCAGTATGACTTTTGGCATTCAAAAATGGAGTTCAATGGGTAAGACCTGTCCTGGGAGCTCAGGTCGACAGAGATTAGGCTGTCTTTGTTTCCAAATATAATCTCTGCAAGAGCTGAAGCAATTTTCTTTTTTCCAAGTCTATCTGGTCCAAGGAAAGCAAACCATATGTCTGCTCTAACATGTGAGCCTCTGCGTTTTCCTGCACCAGATCTACAAAGGTAGAGAGTTTGATTGATAGCACATATGGCCTCATCCTGCCAGCTAACCTTTTCAGAGAGAAGTTGATTAAGAGCTTTGAAATCTACTGAATCAAAGTTTCCCAAATAAGGACCAGACCAGGAAGATCTAGCAATTTGGGGTGAAGTATTTTCATTCATAGTATCACAATCATTTGAGACGGAGTCTGACAAGTGCTGAAGATGCTTTTTTTGATCTCGTAGATTTGGGGTATCTGGCTCCTGGGCAGCTGATGTATATAACGTTCCCAATCCTAAATCTGTGGTAACAGGAGTAAGGGATGAAGATGATCTTTGGTCAAGCACACTCATATTGGCCATAGTGGAAGGGGCAACCCAAGGGGTCTGCAATTCAATTTGCTGAGACTTTGAAACTTGTGGTACATAATCCGTTCCAGTGTTGACACTGATTGTATCAGAAGGTACTGGAACAGGTGATACCTGTTTCAATGGAAAAATACCAGGCAACTCTTTAGGCATGCAGGAAATTTGACTAGAATATTGGAGTTCATAACGTGATGGATCTTTACTGCTGCTTTCCTTAAAACCTGAACCAAACCGTAAAACCTCAAGTGGTGGAGCTTGAAACCTTGTTTGAGAAATATCAAATTCAGGTAGTGATCTGGCGTGATGAAGACGTTGACAAATATCACTCCATTTCTTTTGAAATCCCAAGATCTTATCATTCAAACTTGTATTTTCTTCATTATTCTGCACTGGATTATGGAGTTCATTCTTAAATATATACAGGCATAAATTGAACCAATGAAAAGAAAACTTACAGTTCTTCATGAGAAAATATAATTTTATAATTCACATTATCATTATATTGATAATATTCTAGAATAATTTTTGCAGATGTTCAATGAGTTATCATATAAAGAAAAAGTAAGATTTTCTTGTGTCCCAACCCTAATAGCAAAGAAGTCCTTTCAACCATTGCAGATATATATGATAAGACCAAAGCAATAGAGAGGCAAATATACTTTTTTTTTTTTTTGTAATTGAAAATGTTTTCTTTTTTACCAGTGTAGGCAAGTAAGTATTATTATTGGGTACCTCTAAATTATTTACGTGGATCATTACAGCAATTGCCCCGATCATGTCGAATGTATGTGTGTGAATGTGAATGTTTCAGTACGAATTGGACAAGAAGATATAATATTTGGTGATCATAACAAACCTTTGCCACATCCAATCCTCTATGTGTGTTCACATTAACTACCTTTTGTAACCAAGGCAAGCTTGTTGAGTAACTAGATGCCAGAGTAGCAGGACCTACCTTCTGAATATCAGCAACTTCTTGTTCATATTTTTCATTGCATTTGCCACAACGAGTAAAAGTTGCATTTGCACAGCTTGCGGGATTTTTTATTTCAGAAGGTGTAGGAAAGAAGCCACCAAACGGAACAAAGGACCCCATCAAGCTGTAAGTTTATCATGAGCAGGGAACTGTGAGATCCAATTGGCACAAAACAGTCAGAAGCTAAAGTGTACACGATAGGAGAGACTTCAAAGCATCATCTACATAAATGAAATATATTATGGCCAATATATATTTACATAACAACAGACTACTGAATTTGATGGGCTCATAAAAGCGGTCAGATAAAAGTATACTTGGGTTTTTAACCATCCGTCCTTTAATAAAATATAGCATCTGACAATACATAAGAAGAAAGGGTATAAGATTACATCACAGTAATGAAAACTCAAATTTTATATCTTTCATAGTAGAACCATTTCAGATTTACATGTACCCAGTAAGTAGTCCAATACAGTTTGCGTGTGAATCATTTCCCTATATTAAAAAAAAAAAATTGAATCATGAACTATATTACAGTTTCTTCTAAATTTACAAAAACAAGTAGGCATAATAGGTAGATTAGAGTTGAATGTAAAACATATTCAGAAAAAATTTCCCTGAAACCAAACAGCCCTTCTAAGAGTTAACAGAGTAAAGAAGAACAAGGAAGACGAAGAGAGCAACCAAAAATATAAGCAAAAACCCATAACATTTGTTTCAAAATCACACAACACAGGCGAGTGACAATCAGATTTACATTTACTTTATTCATATTGGCCTATGGCCTTAGTTCCATGCCAGTGAATCCTATGTCACAATTCTAAACAGAGATTGCCTTTTACATGACTGTGATAAGAGCACAGCACAGTACATATATCTGTTCACTTCATCCAAAATCAGGACAAGTACAAATTCCAACCAATAGAATAAAAAGACAGACAGGCAAAGAAGAGGAACAAAAAAGAAAAATACCCACCTGGATTTGGAGTAGAGTCCTTCCAATGAAGGAGTGGCAGATGTCACAGTCAGCAGATGCAAATCCCAATCGTTTTCAACGTTCGGGAACAAAACTAAGAACTTAGAATAGGCATCAGAAGTTTCTGCCACTCCAACCAACCAAACCTTCCCACCATGGATCTCCAACAACCTCGTCAACCGCGACACAACAAACCTTACAGCATCGGCATTCACAGCATCCCCAACGAAAACCTCAACCTGTCCGAAGCTAACAGCAACACCAGGACCCGAGCATTGCTCTACCTCACGACCCAACTCCTGAAACCTCAAACCCATGTTCTCTTCACTCCCACCATGGCCCACAAACTCAGCAATCTCCTTCTCCAAGGAGACAAGGCTCAACCCAGCCATCTCAGGAGGGAACAAGAACGCACCACCACGACACTTTTGCAACAACTCCGTGAAACTCCTGAGAGCACCTTTCGCGTAAACACCCATCAACAACGGGTTCCTCTTGCTCTTCCTTGTTATAACCTCTGCGATTCTCCGAGAATTCTCTTCCACGCCCAAATTGAAACCCGGTCCACCCGGTTCAAGATTGCAAAGGAAAACCGGCGGGGACCGGGTTCGCGAGGAGAAGAATCGAGAAGAAGGCTGAGCCTGTGGTAAAGGGGGTTGAAGCAACGCGACCTTGACGTCACAGCTCCGAAACCCGGCTTCGGCGAAGACCCGGCTCACAATCGGGTCATCGAGAATTGACAAGACGAAGTGCTTTAGCTCCACCTTCAAGAACGACGTCGTTCCGTTAACTTGCTGGTTCTGATTCTGGTTATGCTGAATCTGTTGGAACAAGTGGAAGCTATCGGGGTGGCGGCGCTGGTTTGCCTGGGAGCGTCTGATGGCGGCCATGAGTGAGTTCGACACCGGAGGCTCCTCCTCGGCGCCGCCCTTCGACGACGGAAGCCTGTCCAGTGAGACCCCCACCGAGAGGCCCAGCGCTCGGAACTGCATCCGCGGCGATGACGTGGAGGAGGAGGAGAAGAAGCTGCTGCTGCTAGTGCGGGCCCGCCCGCACGCGTCGCGCAAGGCGGAAGACGGCAGCGCCAGCAAGGCCGACACTGCGTGGAGCGAGGTGGTCTGTGCGTGGCTGCGGCGGCGCGCCACTCCCACCGCGTCGTCCAGCACACGCGCTGCCTCATCCGTCAAGCATTGCCTCGCTGCGCTGACCGGCGTTGGCATCGCCGGCGAGCATATATTAAATATAGAGATATATAGATATGTAATCCCGATGATATTATTAGTATTATTATTATTATTATTTATTATTATTATATATGATAACGGCAAATAAAAAATATGTTAACGTTATCTGCGTAGCAGAGCAGATATTTGGGGTTTGGAGTTTTGCAGAGTGATGACGATAAAAATAAAAAATAAAAGGGTTAGAGAGAGGGTTTGGGGTTTTACTTGTTCAGGCTCTAGAATAATATATTGGAGTAGGGTGAGAAAGAGAGTCTGAAGTTGTTTGTTGGTTCGGGTGGTGGTGGTGGTTTTGCTGGGGATGACGATCATGATTTTTATTTTTATTTTTATTTTATTTTATTTTATTTTAACCAGATATTATGGTGGGGTGGATTTTGGTTGGTGTGGGACCCTTCTTCTCTTTAACCATTGATCAAACAGATGGTGGGCATAGATACTCTCTACTTTCGGATCGGATGAGATAATAAACTCACTCCCTGTTCCAATTCCATGGGCTTTATTTTATATTTATGTCCCTTTGAAATTTGATTTGATTTTGTGAGTGCTTGTCTTTCACGGTGGTTGAGTTAGAGCGTGACAGATGCCGTGCCCACTTAGCAAATGGAGCAAAAGGAGGTCACTGTCAAGCTTTTTAGTCTATAGGGACCTTTTGTCCTTTGTTTACTTATGTATCTTTCATCCTTTTTATCTCCCTTCCTTTCCTTTTGCTTCAACTCATCTTTTCATTTTTTTTGTACTCATAATTATTTATTATTATAGCTTAAAGACTATTATCTGAATATGTAATTTTACAAAAACAAAGTTAGTACAATACTGAATCGATTTTACACATTTCAATAAAAAAATTCAATATGTTAATCAATTATTAATATGTAATAATTTAAATAAAATGGTGAGTTCGAGTCTTAAATTTGATTTTGAGATTTATGAGCATAAAATAAAAAATATTGATATGGAGAATTTTTTTTATTTCGGTATCTCACTTTTTTGGGTGAGAATATTATGAACAAATAAAAATATACTTATCATCTTTTCTAGAATATCTAATATAGGAAAAAAAACAAAAAAAGAAAGATACGCGTTAAAAAAAATTGAAGATACGAAATTGATAAGGTGTTGACTAGAAAGGAGCTACTAACGTGTAAATAAGAATGTTTACCAAAAAGAAAAAAAGAAAAGATGGGATGACTAACACTAGTGTAAATTAAGGGAGATTCCATAGACAAAGTTTATCAATTTTAAAAATAAAAAAAATAAGAGTAAGTATTTTTCTAATAAAAAGTTTTAAAAAAAAAATTCTTCTTTTTTTAATTGAGAAGGACATTCTTACTGTCAAAAAAATTTTACTATCAATTCAATACTTATTTAATTACCATTGTTTAGAGAAAAAAATGTTAATTTAATAATATTTAAATAGATAATGGATTGATAGTAGGCTTTTTTGGTAATAATAATATGTCCCCTTTTTTAATTAGAATAAATATTGATATCATTTCATCATATCTCAAAAGCTTTCAGTATCTACCAAAATAATTTATCAAAGCGCACTATTGTAAAGAAGGGAACTTGGGTAATGCAGGAATTAATTAATTATACTTTCAGAATCTCATGTTAGGCTGTTAGCATTAGCAATGCATAATCTATATTAATAGGGTTTCTCTCTGTCCATGTCATTACTAATACCTTTAGGCAGACACTTAGACACCATAAAAAAATGTGTCACTTTTTTTTTTCTTATAAATAAATAGATCCACACTTATTATATTTATGACATACAATTAAAAATTCATGTAACATGGTATTTCTTTTTCTCATATTAACAAAGAAAATAATATTCTCATTTTAAATGAGGTAATTATTTTATATTATTTTATTTTGAAAATTCCACTCATTTTATTTTATTTATTTATTATCCTTTAATAATGGATCTCATATGATTTTTCTATGTGACATAAGAGAATTACTCTCCCATAAAATAAAAATAGCATTCCCCTAACCCTAAATGATTGGTCGAGTTAGGCGTAAATTATGAGCATGTATGATAACTTTTTTAAGGATTTTTTAATGGAAAAAATGTTTTCGCAGTTAATGCAGAGAAGTTATTTGCATTTATTCGATGTCGTTTTGGTATTTAAATCTTAAAAATTTATAAATATAAAGACTATTATAACCATAAAATAAATTAAAATTACAAAAACACCATGATTTCTGTCCCAAAACGACGTCGTATTGGCTTACTGTAGATAACTTATCTGCAGTAAGTCCAATACAACGTCGTTTTGAGCGAAAATTATGATGTTTTTATAATTTTAGAGTTATAATAGTCTTTATATTTATAATTTTTTAAGATTTTAATGTCAAAACGACGTCATTTTGAAAATAGATATAGATAATTTATTTGTAATAACTGCAGAAGTATTAAAAAAAAAAAAAAAAAAGTGAATCGAGACATAACATACGCTAATTGAAACATCTCCTAGTTAGAATAAAACAATAATGCATACGCTAATTGGAACATCTCCTAGTTAGAATAAAACAATAATGCTGTTATCAAAAAAAAAAAAAAAAAACAATAATGCATACGCTAAAGCGTTTTCTCAACCTTTTACATGGATATTTTTTTCCTCCCGGAAAAGAAGTGATGGAGGCTTGCTTGGTCAGGTGCGTTAGAAGTAGTCTAATCACAATTAAAAAGAGTGGAGAAAAAAAATAAAATAAAGCAAGATACGTAATATAAGATTTGGTTTGATGAGTTCAAGAAACAAGAAAAATATAGAGGAATGGTTAATCAACAACTTGATTTTTGTCGCTGTCCATGTCATCCCAGCAGGGGATATTTGACCAGAAAAAACGTAATTCAAGGGACTCGAGAGATATCTTTAAATAACAAAATATTTAAAGTGCTTAAATAAGAAAGTGTTTGTTTTTTCTACCGTTACTGCAGATAATTTATCTGCAGTAAATCAATACGACGTCGTTTTGAGCCAGAAATCATGGTATTTTTATAATTTTAATTTATTTCAGAGTTATAATAGGCTCTATATTCATAATTTTTTAAGATTTCAATACTAAAACGATATCATTTTAGGAATAAATGCAGATAACTTATCTGCATTAACTGCAGAAATATTTTCCCCAATAACAAAGGGTTCATTTTTTCTGCAGTTACTAGGGCTGGTAATATGGGCCAGCCCGCCCCGGCCCGCCACTAGCCCGCCCAAAATGGGTTGGCCCGTCCCGGCCCGTTTTGACAAAATGGGTTGAATTGAGTAACCCGGCCCGTTTTATGAGTGGGCTGGCGGGCTACGGGCCAGCCCGCCTAAAATAAAAAAAAAATATAAAAATAAAATACAAAAAATTAAATTCTGCATAAAATCACATAAAAAAATCTGCATAAAAGCATACAAAAATCTGTATAAAATCCTAATGTGCTTATGAAACCAAGAAGATCAGTGTTTAATAATCTGCATATAAATATGCATCTTTCAATCCAAAAATAAAAAAAAAAAAATAAAATCATATCAGGATAAAATAGAATAACAAAACAAGTAACAAAGTGTTGTATAGTCCACAACAATTCAAAAAAGCCACTTGCAAGCAGAGAAATCTAAGATATGGAGCTACATAACAATTGGGTAACCTAAAAAAAAAAACAAAAAATGACTTGGCGGGCTAGCCCGCCCCGTGCCCATATGGGCTGGCGGGTTTGGCGGGGCAGGTTTGGCGGGCTGGTGGGTTGAAAGACTCAACCCAGCCCGCCCCATTTGGCAGGCGGGGCGGGCCAGCCCGGCGGGCTCAGCCCATTTTGCCGGCCCTAGCAGTTACTGCAGATAACTTATCTGCAGTAAACCAATACGACGTCGTTTTGGGACAGAAATCATGGTATTTTTGTAATTTTAATTTATTTCAAGGTTATAATAGTCTCTATATTCATAATTTTTTAAGATTTCAATACTAAAACGACGTCGTTTTGGGAATAAATACAGATAACTTATCTGCATTAACTACAGAAATATTTTCCCCAATAACAAAATATTTAAATAACAAAATATTTATCTTATACTTTTTCATACAAAGTGCTTAATGGAAACGAATGATGTTGATTGAAGTAATACATATTTGATTTTGTTTAAATAATGTCTTAAATTTTAGTCGTTATTAATATAAAAAAAATTCTTTAGAAGAGCTATTTTTATCATAATGTAAATATTTCAACTAGAATTGGATTATTTTATCCAAAAAAAAATGCTTAATGACAAATCCGAAAAATAAAATTCTCATATTTGAAGCTAATAGGCAAAAAATTGTGAAAAAATAGAACGTATACGACGCCAATTGTAATTGTACCATTGATTGTGTAAACTTCCGAAACTGCAATAAGAAGGTTGCAAACTTGCAATTACTATTATATGAATCCCCTTTTAAAATCATGATAGGTTCACCAATCACAATTCAGAGTCTTTTGGCCAACATCTCGTCTAACTCACTTTAGAACTACAAGGACTCTGCAATGCTGCATTGTATCACTAAAAGTCCTCGTCTGAACTACTTGTGGTCCTTTTTTATTTTTGAACATTATCATTGGCCTCTTGCAAACTAATTATATTTTCATATTAATCCCTGCGATGGAACATACCAGAGCTTACTAAAATGCACTTTGGCATTGTATATTATTCTGAATTATGTTTTAGGTACTTCTTTTAATATTATTTGGTACAATAAAAAACTTAAACAGTGTTTAGCATGAGTTTGATCTCTTATATTGAATTTATATTGAAAAATGTTCCTTTTTAAAAATAAAACAAAAACTGGTGAGCCTATTTTATTTGTCTCTCAATATAAAAGAACTTATCTATTATTACATAAGAGAATCAATTGCTATAATACATATCAAATTTTGTGCGTGTGTGTATATTATTTAATTTTGTTGCCTTTGTTGCAAAATCTACTTTAAAGTTTAATCTATATTGATTTAGTATATAAAAATGCTTTCGATAAAAAAAAAATTGCAACAGCATTTATTAACATTGATGTGTCAATAAATTTTTTTTTATTATTATACAATTTTTTTTAATAATTTAGAATATATTTAAAGACACAATCATTAAGAGCAAATTAATATAAATAAAAATAAAATAAAGAGAAACAAATATTGATAAATCATAAAAGATGGTAAAAGTGTATCTATCAAAAAAATATAATTAGACATAATATTCTATGTGTAAAACATTTTTATAAATTTTTAAAAATAATGCATACTCACACACAATAAACATATTCTCTTTTACTAACATTTAGAAATAGATACAATTATCTCATAGTGCCCGATATATTAATATAAATATTTTTCATGTTCGGGACATAATCTTCCTATAATTTACTTGATTAATTTTTGAGGAAAAGAAGTATTCTTTCAAAGTATATAAGTTTGTGTCCATTTAGTTAATGTTATAAAAATCGGTTCGACCCACAA